CTAAAAAGCAGCCAAAAAACGTATATATTAGCAAGAATATATATATTAGCTGCGATGCGAAACTAAGAAATGATAGCAGCATTTCAGAACTGTGTCACATTTTACTATAAATTTACAAGAATATATATTGTGCCATGTACTTGCAGGCAATGGTTGCGAAATACTCATCCATATCTACTCGAAAGCTACCTAAATCTTTAGACGTGTTGGGTCGTCGTGATAAAGCGATGGTTGCTATGAGTGACTATGGCGACTTCTATAAAAAGATGAAGCATTTAGTTATGGCGGGCATGTTGGGTTCTTCTACTCAGGTATACACTTTCGAAATACACAGCTTAGTTGTCATCTCTTGGATCTGCTTAAGCTTTCAGTTAACTAACATCTCACAACAAAATGCTTGCCAAAACATCTAGAGACAATTTCGGGAGACAAGAGACCTGATGATGGATAACATGCTGAGCAGTTTTCGTACATTGGTGACTGACAACCCGAATTATTCCCCTCTGAACTTCAGAGATGTTTTCAAGGACGAGTTGTTCCGCCTCTCCTTGGTCGAGGTTAGTCTACAAAATTTATGATGCATTGTGCTGCTCCATAGTGTCATTAGTATCACTTTCTTGAGTTAAATCAATCATTAGTATCACTTTCTTGAGTTAAATAAATCTTCGGGTGCTTTTTTTATTATTTGTGATATTGAGAGTGCACACTACAATTACAGAGTATAGGCGAGGATGTGAGTTCAGTCTACGTGGAGGAGTTTGGGAGGGAGATATCGAAGGATGAAATCCACCAGATTACTGTGACTGACATCTTGATGTGGGCGATTGAGGTTGATTGGAGGGATTTCTTCCCCTACCTCGGCTGGATTCCAAACAAGAGCTTCGAAACAGGACTGCATACCACAGAATTTAGGCGAACCAGCGTGATGAGAGCCTTGATCAATGAACAGAAGAAAAGAATTGCACGTGGCGAGGTGGCTCTAATGCACATTGCTTGTACCCTGTTTTATTTTGATCCATTTCTCCTTTGTTTTCTTTTCATTGACGCGATACGTTTGCGATATGTAGGCAAGGGTATCCTATCTGGATTTTTTAGTGGCAGAAAACACACTAACAGACGAACAATTGATGATGCTGGTATGGGAGGCGGTCATCGAGAATGCAGATACTACTTTGGTGACCACCGAGTGGGCTATGTATGAGCTTGCCAAAAACCCAGAAAAACAGGCGAGCTTCCTACTCTCCCGTGGTTCTCTATTCTAGTGTTATATTGCCTGGACCAAATTGTTAACCCAAACAAATACTCTTGGCACATCAGGAACGACTCTACCAGGAGATCCAGGATGTGTGCGCCGGCGAGACGGTCACTGAGGACCACCTGCGGCGGCTGCCGTACCTCAATGCCGTGTTCCATGAAACGCTGCGGTTCCATTCTCCTGTTCCGCTGGTGCCTCCAAGGTTCGTCCATGAGACCACCAAACTGGCCGGCTATGATGTCCCTGCCGGCACAGAGGTAACTGACCCAGCAATGCATGGCATAGAGCTACATGCAACAATCATAACTGATGGCACCTTGAGTTTCGGCTGCCAACCGTGGATTTCTAAAGAAATTCTCAATTTTGTAGATTATCATCAACCTGTACGGGTGTAACATGAACGAGAAGGATTGGGAGAAGCCCGAGGAGTGGAGGCCAGAGAGGTTCCTGGACCCGAGGTTCGACTCTGCGGACATGTACAAAACCATGTCATTCGGATCCGGGATGAGGATCTGCGCCGGGAGCATGCAGGCAACGGTCATCTCGTGCACCGCTATGGCGCGCATGGTGCAGGAATTCGCCTTCAGGCTCAAGGAGGGCGACGAGGACAAAGTGGACACAATCCAGCTCACCAGCTACAAGCTCCATCCGCTCTACGTGCATCTCTCTCCGAGAGGGAGCAAGTGAACGGCAGCTTTGTCTTGATAATAATGAAATGGTAACTAAGAACCGGTAATTGCCTTTGGCTCCTAGGTGCATATGCATCCATTGTCGAAATACACATTTCAAAAAGTTCAAAAATTCGGAACAAAAATCCCACGTGTATATCCGAATATTTTATGTGCGTGCACAAGGTTTCGGTGAAAAATAACGTTTTTTGCGGCTTGCGTAAGAAAGACAATTTCTGATGCTTCATTCTAACTATTCACGAGGCATTTCTTTATTTTTTTACACAAGCCACAAAAAACATTGTTTTTCACTGAAACCTTGTGCACGCACATAAAATGTCCGGATATACACGCGGGATTTTGTTCTGAATTTTTCAACTTTTCGAAATATGTATTTCCATAATGGGTGCATATGCACCTAGGAGCCAAAACACCGTTCTCACTAAGAACCGGCTTTGTTGCGTTTTACAACTTGGCCAAACAAGCTCGAGCATGATAAAAGTGTGTAAGCAATACTGGTTTGCATGAATAATTTGTTCAGATATTCAGATTATATGTTCTTATTTTTTGTGATAATGAAGAGAAATCTTTCTCGGACTCAGATTGGCACAACCTAAGTTGTTACCGAAACACACTGAGTACAATTATTATCCTGCCGGATACACGCGAAGAATATAACACTTCTACTTCAGCACGTCCCTTCTAAACACATCGACGGCGGAGATCAGCCGATACCCCTTCATAATAAAGGGCATGATCGACATTTAAAAAGCATCGTACAACCGTATGCATACGTACTCCCGTAAGCATACTGGTAGCACGACCGACCAGCATTGTCAACCTACTGCGCAGTTGTTCCCCACATAGCGAGTGCGCAGTCAATTCCCCGTCAGTGTTGGTTCGAGGCTATGTCCCTGACACTACTAGGAAAATGCTTATAGGTAGAAGTTTACCAGTAGCATTTGTTTATGTCCCCACGCTACTAGTAGTTAGTAGTAGAGCTGGGTAGAAAGAGCGCTACTGCTATACATTAGCAGCAACACATGTTTTCTTGAAGCACGCTACTAGTAAGTGTGCCACACCACACCACCTGACCAATAAAAATTAGCAGCGCCGGACATCTACCCAGCGCTACTGTTACTTCTGGATCTATAGCGCCTGTTGGAAGAAACGCGCTACTGCTATTTCTTCTATGTGTACACTTTTACCAGTAGCATTTCCACCCCGCGCTATAGGTAGTAGAACTTAGCAGTAGATATTTTTGGCGGACGACCATAGCAGTAGCGCACATTGGTGGCCTGCGCTACTGCTATGGTCGCCAGCCAAAATACCTACCACCTCCCCCCTTTCTTCCTCCCCTCTTCTTCCTCCCCCTTCCTTTCTCCCCCTCTCCTTGCACTTGCTCGTTCCTTTTAATGCACTCCCCCTCCCTCTTTCTTTCTTTGCCCCTCCACCCCCTCTTCTTTGACCATCCCACTCTTCTTTGCCCCTCCACTACCCCC